CAAGACTGAATGGTAAGGAATTGGTTGCAGCTGGATTGGCAACCCATTTTGTCCCTCTTGAGGTGATTTTCTCATTCCTTCCCTATAATTTTCTTCCTCTGAAACCAAGTCTCGGAAGTATTAGCTCACAAGATTTGCCCCTCTAAGTGATCTGCAAAGCTAAGAGACTGCATTATACACATCCATTATTATTAGATTCTTTGATATAATTCTTCTTCATAGTTACTATGTCAAACTAAAATTTGCTATTGAACTGTTTTTGTTCATCATAAATTATCTGATCTAGAGAAGCATTTGATAAGCTTAAACTCTGGAGATGAGAATGCAGTCAAAGCTGCGATTGAAGAATTTGCAGTGGAAGTCCAGCCCGATGAAGAAATTGTTTTAAACAAGTAATAAATCTTAGTTGCTGGTGTTTAATTGTTAATTCCACTTCAATCCTTAACATTAACATGCAAAGCTCCATATCTCGATCTCAATAACCTTTCCTTACCTTTCAGGCAGTCAATAATTGATGAGTGCTTCTCCAAAGATACATCACAAGGATAAGGAAAGGTCTGATACCAGCTGGTTATGTCACTGTCAGGGTATGTGTCTTTCACTTCTATGAAATAATTGGGTTAAATTATGAAGTTCAATTTTGGTCTCAGAACATCACAAGGAATTATCATAACTATACTCAAATCTTGAAGGATTCTATGCTCAAATGACCCAAAATAAAAATCACTATCCAAAAATAGATATGATTGTTATTTTTTGAATAGAGGAAGATCAATAAACCTTCATCTCAGTCATCTCAATCCACACTGTTTACTCATGCAGAAAAAGATAAAATTCTCTTTAGCAAAATTGTTAGTTTTCTAATTTCGGAAGAGAAAGTATCAATTTTGGAGAATGGTTTTTATTTTGGTTAATTTAACAAAGTGGTTGGAGCTCAAACCACATGCCACCAACATGTTAAGGTGCTGAAATAGAGTTAGGCCTAATTTATGAAGGACAATTATATTGGTGATTTATCTGAGTTCTCTGGTGTTACTGGTTATGCCTATGTATCTCTGACTTGTTTTTTCCCTCAGGTCGGATTAGCTCTTGGAGAGTTACGAAAGGAAAATAATTTCCTAAGAATCCTTTGGCCAGTAACTAATCCACCTTCAAGTCAAGAACATCTTTTACATCCTCAACTTTTACAAAAGCCTCTCCGCCACCCATTCCTTGCTTGAGGGTATTTCGACGTTGCAGGAGTGTAAAACGTGATTCCAATAAGGACGTCGTGTCCTTTTTGTAATATGTTGTAGATTATGAATATATAGTGGGAATGTGGAGTTTTTGTATTGCCATTGTATTGCTTCCGTATTGCATTTGTATTGTCATCATATTGTCATTGTAGTGTTGTGGTATTGCCTGGTTATTGCACTTATATTTGTTTCTTGTCACTAGTTTTTTCAAGTCTGTCTTGTGAAGGAACTTATAAGGATATTTTGTAAAAGAAAACGCTTGATTGTGTAAGTTTATTTTGTAAAGGAAAATGCTGGATCATTATTCATTATCATATAAATAAGGTACAAGAAGCACCGTATATGCATCTCTTCAATATGATTGATTCGTGTTCAGCTATTGGTGTAAGAATGTGATTCCATTATTGCTTATTTATTTATTATTTATTATTGTAAGAATGTGATTCCATTAATGACGTCACATCCTTTTAAGAAACCAAACTCATAGTTGCTTCCCCTGCAAGAAATTATATTAATTAAGAAAACCAACCAAAAAGCAATGGCACATAAATTATGAAGTGGTAGCAGACATGCAATACAAAAACAATACGGTAGCAATAAACGAGCAATACAGTGGCAATAGACCAGCAATAAAAAGGCAATAAAAATACAATAAACAAGTTGGGGGCTTTTCTTTTTCTTGTGCAATTTGAAAAGAGAAGGGGAAAGAAACAGAAATTGTCAAGATAAAACTGCAAAAAGAAACAGAAAGTGATTATATCAGACA